CTTTTCCTTTTTGATTGTTTTTTTGGAGGATTTTTTAGTTTGAGTATGTTGATGGGAGTGTGACGGGCGAGAGTTGTTTATGGAGTTTTGGAGTTGTTTTCGATTGCGAAGGGTTTTGACGAGGAGAGCATCGATTTTGTAATAATTAGTTCTTCTTTTCGATCTTTTTTGCCCTTGATATGGGGGATTAGAAAATGTTTGTGGGAAATGGAGCTTGAGCGTTGAAAGGGAACGCGTGGAATGTTGTTTGAGGAAGTTTGTTTTGATGCCAGAGTTGTGGTCACTGTGTCGAGTGGTTGGATGGTAGAGGGATGGACACGTAGAGCTTCAGCCTTCTTTTCGAAACTAGATAGTGACAGTGGATACTAGGTACTGGACGCTGATAAATACTAAACACAAGACATTGATACTGGATACTAATACTACAAATTATATATCATTAATAAAAATATTAAACAAGTATTACATTACTACTATCGAAAATAATAATTACATATTTACGTTACAAATCAAATAATCACAACTATCGATACAACAAACCTTGTTTCACCCTTCTTCCGTTCGGTCTGATTAATTCCGTACCTCCACTACTTTAACTAGTACATATCGATTAACAGAATCATTATACTTCGTATTAAAATACTGTATCATTATTAAACTATTACCAGCACATACAATAATTTCCCTCGAACAACAAATAATTGTCACGTGAAATATTCCGCCGTCAACAGTTTATTCGACTGATTATCTTATACAAATATTCATTCGAAACAATATTCGAGTAGTACTCAATTCTGTCCAATAACACACCAATTGCCTCGAATCATGTCATGGTAGGTCGGTGTCCATGAATTGTAACTGGTCGTCAACGTTTAAGTAGAACACACACTTGATATATCGTACCCAGACTATTCCGGCCTTGATCGTAGGTAGAAGCGTAAGTCAACCCGATGACACTCTCCCGTATCCTCGGGACCGCAATCTTGCGCGAATCTCGATATCTTCTGGCCAATTTCATCTCTGACCATCTCTGTGCGACCAAAATACGGAGACTACATGGCAGCATCTGTATCAAACCGGTCTGGTGTCTGTGCCTGTCCGTGTGCGAGTCTATTATTCCCGGCGATTCCTAGACAACCCTAATACAAACTTCAAACAAAGGAGCTTTTTTTACCTTTCCGTTTTTGCTCCCCCTTTTTACAACGCACGAGTCTGACGCACCTAATTTCGACGAGTTTTTTCTTGAATCCTTAATTGCACATGTAATCGTCTCGCTAGATGTATATTTGATAAAATTCTAGATCTAATTAGGAGCATAGGTACGATGCTTTTTGAAGGGGTCGATTAGTTATCAACGAATTAATTTGTGATTCATCGTTAACATTATAAACACCAATTTGTACTCTCACGAAATGTCTCCTTGTAATTTCATGGGACGCTTCCGATAGACGTGTGATTATAGAATCTATTCACCTTGATCTATTTATGTAAGGGTAATTAACGGTGATAAAATTTGTTGCTGATCGCTAGTTTCCGCGCTCTCCAATTTTCATATTACAAATCCTGTTAACGATGTCAGTAATGTAACTGCGAAATTCGGTACACAATCCACGCAATGAACATTGCTTCCTTTGTTGCAAAAATGCGTTTTTAATGACTGCAACAATTTCTGCTAATTGCGGGGAGCTCGTTTCCAACAGAATCATTCCCTATTTAAGCAGGAATATATTTGAAAAGAGTAACGGAATTTTTCCTGCGAAACTAGGTATTCCACATTTTTACGTATTGTTTGATAATAACGAGAAGTTTGCGTTGCTCGGACGGTTTTATTGCACTGTTCCGTGTTTTTAACCCTTAGCACTCCAGGTTGTTTTGTAATCTGTCAGCAACTGCGACTAATTTTTATAGTGTTCCTAGCGAAAATTAGAAACACTATAATATTCCTTCGATCTATTTTCCTTCTCAGTGGAAAATTTGGACGTGTGGAAAATCTAATAATATTAGGGTAGTTTCTTTACTTCTAGCTTATTTACTTCTTTTCTTTCTAATTATTCATTTCTATTTTTCTTATTACCCTGAGACTGGAAAAATGTAACTAATTTTCATACTGTTCCTAGCGAAGATTAGAAACACTATAATATTCCTTCGATCTATTTTCCTTCTCAGTGGAAAATTTGGATGCGTGGAAAATCTAATAATATTAGGGTAGTTTCTTTAAGATTTATTAGAATATTTAATATTATAACTGTCGCAATATTCGAGCGTACAGAGTTGAAAGGGTTAATAATAAATGTTCGTCCTTACATTTCGCGAGGGGTGGAACAGAATATTGTATTCCATTCCCATAAAATGGCAGCCGTTATTCTTGCGAAATGTAACTTTGTAATGACTAGAAGCCGCGGATGGTAGTCACGCGACCCGGTTATACAATTCGATACACGAATAGCTGACAGTGACGTATGCATCAGGATATTTCACTAGGAGCATAGTCTCGGGTTCTTCGTTCGTCCTTGGAATAGCAGACATTCGTTTTTCCGCGTGTAACTTAACACGTAGAATACACAAATCCTATGTCAACATATCGTGCGACAGTCACACGACAGACTACGACAGTGGTTCGCAAACGGTGGATCGCGGAACAGGTATTTTTTAAATTATTATACAACTGTAATGATTTTTCAAAGAAATATATTGAAAAATTTATCTTCAAACGGTGGATTGTGGAATAACTTTATTAATTACTATAACGTGTAACAATTATATTCATTACAATATTTGACGTAACGATAAATCATAATAAACGAGATTATATAATGTTAGCTTAATAATTTTATAAACAATATTTTACTTATATATCTGACGACATTTTGCATTGAAGATTGCGTTGAATATAATATAATATTCAGCGTGAAAGTTTAAGAATGTTATTGAAGTTCTCATAAAGATACTATTAAATTTTAATTATCTTCTAAGTAGGAGAATTAGAATAAGAATAATAATCGTCGATTACAGTAACGAATTTCAAAATGCAATAGGCTTTTTGCAACTGCTCCTCGATATCTATAGATTCGTTTCTGAAGGCAACGAATTTTTTCAGGCGGAATGTAAATATTGAAAATTCTGTGAAATTAATTCCGGCGTCCAGGAAAAATTGCGAACCACTGGATTACACAATTTCCTGTATCTCGAAGGGTTTTTGCAACTGCTGCTCGATATAAGATATCTATAGATTCGTTTCTGAAGGCAACGAATTTTTTCAGGCGGAATGTAAATATTGAAAATTCTGTGAAATTGATTCCGGCGTCCAGGAAAAATTGCGAACCACTGGATTACACAATTTCCTATATCTCGAAGTATGCCCTAGCCTATCTCTGACAGTGACGCATGTGCCTCAATAGATTTCAATATGAATGGAAGGCGAGGATAACGTTTCCAATTTTTCTTAAGAATTACAGCCATTAGTCTATTCGGTAGTAACTCATTTTTTGATAATAGTATACAGCAGTGTCCGCAGGTACAATGGCATCGCAAATAGAGCACGTAACCTTTAACAAATAAGCCATTCTATACGGCC